CCCAAAACCCCAAAACCCCAAAACCCCAAAACCCCAAAACCCCAAAACCCCAAAACCCCATAGGAGGTATCCTTAATTGAATTTTATAACTAGGTTTTAATAAAATATGAGGTGACCTTGAGAAAAAGAGTATAGCGTCCCATGTAGCAAGATGACTACTGTGTTTGAAACAATGGACCGACCTAGAGCTGGATCTGTCAACTCACCTCCTTCCCTCTTGTGCAACACTACTAACTATCAGGAAGATATGGTCAGTTCTGATTCCACTAGATCTAGGTCTGAAGCAAGTTATTTATACGAGTATAATTCAAAAACTTTGCTGAAGAAGGCTCAGTCAATAAAGAAATCAGGAATATTTTGGCATGATTCCTCCATTATGAAGTCACAAGATATTCAGGAGTCTTCTGACATTGGAACTACAATCCTTAGGAATAGGGCTAAATCAACTGCACTCCCAGACAATTCTGCTCAGGCGAGCTTGGTGCCAAAGAAAGTTGTGCAGCCCAAAGTGATGAAGTATGTCCAGAAGACTTCTAATCTGTTTGACCCTCTTGAAAAAGTTGCTGTTCTCTTTGCACTGCCTGAAAACATTGCTTTTTATAAAGGAGTGCATGAATTAGATGGCCAAACTTACATTCTAAAGAAAATAAGAATTTTTCTAAAAGACGATGAAGATATAAAAGACCACCCAGCTTATCAAGAGATTTTGATGGTAAAAGACAATTCTTCAAATGCTGATATACGATATGTTAACTCTTGGGTAGAATTAGAGAAGGAAATTTTATGCGAAGATTCTGGAGAAAATGACGGTCTCTTTGTTCAAATCTGCATCCAAATGAGGTATATTAACAGCTCAATCAAACTTGTAAAGGATTTACTCCTCTGGTCCGATTCCTGTGGCAAAAGCTGCGATGAAGATACGCTCTTTGATATGGCTGAAGATATTTGCGATCAAATAGATCTCACCAAGAATGACGATTTTGAAAAGATCTGTGCAAAATACGGATGAGATGGTACACTGAAGAAAATCCTAACTAGCCCAGAGACCACTGAGCTTCAGGCTTGGAACATCTGCTATCATGAACTAATTAATTTGTAATAAAGTTGAAGCTCATTAGCGTTGTGTTTATTTTATTGTAAATGTTTTAACTCCCACACTTATTAATTTTTAAGAAAAATTAAACTTTAGCAAAGGATCGGGGATCAAAGTATCTTTTAGAATTGATGCTCCAAAAACTCTTATCCTCAATAGGATCTTAGCTTTCTAGAAAATTTCTGGTAGGAGCTTAAAGTAACACATTAGGCATTACCAGAGTTTTTCTACAACACAAATTTGCCAGAATTTTCTCGATAAATTTAGAAGATTTCCCTAAATATTTAGTATATAAGCTTTATTATGATTGGTCCAATGTCACAAATTGTCGTAGTTTTAAGAAATCCCTCTTTTCCTTCTTTCTACAGGATGAAAGCCAATTGGCTAGTTACCCATATTTCGACAAACTGTAGTTAACTTCACTAGTGATTTCTAGATTGAGCTAATCATGTTCAAATCAGACCAAAACAATTGAATTAGTAAAAGTAAAATTAAGTATTAGAGTAAAGTTAAGGATTGGTAATTATTCTTTGGACTTTAAGACCCTGAAATCAGTAATTTCTAATTACAAAAGGCACTGGGTTCATTTGTCCTTTCTTATGGGGTTTTGGGGTTTTGGGGTTTTGGGG